ACTGAAAGATTGATTGTCGTCTGTGCAGTGGACGTCTTCGCTGTCCACTGCGGATGCGCAGCAATACGGTATTCGCCTTCGCTCAATTTCATTACAAAAATTATGAACAAATGGTATCACCATTGACAATACCGCTTTACTTTACTTTTGTAGGTTCGGGCTATTCGAACACAACTCAGAAGCAAGGGACTACAGAATGTAACAGTGGAAAGTATTCATAACGTGCTAGGTAATTAAGGAATTTTATCATTATTCTTATTTTTCTTGGATACATCAGACAGCTTTTCAGTATTGGCTAAGCAACTGCGGAAATCTAGATTTTTAGGTGATTTCGGAATAAAATGTTAACAGTTCCTTACCTCGTGTGGAAATACAGTAAGGAATATTAAAGAAAGTTAAAAACGTCTTCCATTTACGTTCAAACGATAAGAAAACGAAACCAACTTTTAGAATGTTTCTGACTCTTACCCACATTTGATAGAGCTAGGGTAAACTCTCTCCATTTTCTCGATGTACGTACGTGTAGTGAAGAATCAAGTACTTTAAGGCCTGGGTCAAAGGCTTTTGCTGGTAAAAATAATTTATATGTTATTTTTTTTTGTTTTGGAAGGCAAAAACGGCAGTGAAACCAATGGCTGTAAGAGCATATCAGGGAAACATAGTTAACATGTGTTTTTTTTGTCGCAGGAAAAGAATTTCGTGCATTATTCATCAGCACTGTCCGCACATCTCTAACTTGCCACAGCTTTGACAGACGTCAAAGTGAATCTCAGTCACTCTACTGGGAATTCTTGTCAGACCCTAAGCTCTTTAATACTGCAATAACTAGGGCGATGTCCTTGGTAGCAGTTGTTGGAGATCCCGTCTCGTTGTGCACCGCTGGTGACTGTAGGGGAAACTGGAGAGACTACATCAAAAGGTGCCACGAACGCGGAACTTTGTATGGATTATCGTACGAAGAGATAACGAAGAAAATAGACGCCTCTCTGGCCAAAATCAGGTTAAATCCAGAAGCAAACAAATTTGTTCTACAATCAATGGACGTCAGCAGCAAAGAGCTCAAATCCTTGGAGTTGACTTCTCAATCAGAAATATCCGATAGTCAAATCTCAAGCTCTGTAGAGAAGAGTGATTTGAAAGTTGACAAAAATCAAAAGAGCTCGGCATCTGAAAGCGAAGACGAGTATACCAACCCAACGGAAAAGTACAAGTCTGGAATTGAAACAAATGACACAAAAGAAGATTTGACGCAAAGAGAATCAACGTCGGAAGAAGAGGAGGAAGAGCAGAAAGCAACTCAATTTTCACCAGATT